GTGACTGCTAATATAAACATCCATGGAGAAATAATTCATTTTGTTAATATTTATGCCCCCTGCAGAACAAGCATTATAACACAAGAAAACTTTTATAACAACAGCTACAGATTCAACATTCACAGTATCCTGTTATTTTGGGAGGTGACATGAACTGTGTTCATGATGTTGACCGTGACCGTGATAGATCGGAAAGCACCAAACGAGCTAAAAAGGAATACATTTCTGAGGCGTTAAATGAACTTATAGACAGACACCTTTAATTTGATAGATTCTGTGGAATATTTTCCTAATAACAATACTTTTACACATGGCGAAACAACACCGTACAAGCAAGGTTAGATCGTATCTACTGCTCGCAAAACTTGTGTTCAGTAACAAATTTATACTGTTGTCCAACTTATATTTCTGATCATGATATGTATTCGGTTGATATTGAAGTTTACACCAACTTGGAAGAAAAAGGGAGCGGATTCTGGAAAAACAATGTATCAGTTTATAATATGAAATATTATTGAAGAACTTAAACATAAATGGAATAATTGGTGCACATTGAAAGTATTATTTAATACAAAGACTCAATGGTGGACCGAAATAAAGAAAAAAATAAAAGATTTAACTATCAAACATTCTGTTAAACAAGCAAAAGATGAAAAAGCACAATATCGCAAAGAAATGAAACAGATGGAAGAACTAAAAGAAAGATTAGACAGAGGAGAAAAAGTTCTAACTTTTCAATAAAACAAAAAGAGAAGTACTAAAAAACAAAAGCAGAAGAATAGTAAAATTAGATTTCAAAATTTGGCCCATTTCTATGACACGTATGAAAAATGTAACAAGGCATTCTTTAAAAAATTGAGAAAAAAACAAAGAATGTTACATTAAAAAATTAAGAAACACAGAAGATGTGGTACAAGAAAAATTGGTGGAAAAGATGGCAATAGTAAAGAATTCTACCAGAAACTATACAAAAAACAAAATAACAACATGAAAACTCAAGATTTTGTGGAAGGTATTCCAGATTCATTAAAACTAAAAGAGGATGATGCAGAAACATTACAGAGACCGATTATCTTTGCGGAAGTTCAAGAAACAATCAAATCTTTCAAAAAAAAAAACTCCGGGACCAGACGGCATAAGTGTCGAATTTTATATAAAATGTTGGAATATAATTGGAAATGATTTTTTTGAAGTTTTAGAAGAAGTGTATGAAAAAGGCCTCATTACAAAAGATATGAAAAATGGATACAACACTAATTCATAAGAAAGGTGAGATGGATCAAATAAAAAATTACAGACCTATATCATTGCTGAACACCGACTATAAGATACTTACAAAATTACTAGCGAATAGACTAAAACGACTACTACCTGAAATAATAGATAAACATCAAACCGCTGTTCCAGGAAGGAGAATATCAGATACACTCATCTTATTGAGAGATATATGTATACAGGAGGAGAACAAATTTGGAGAATCTTCTCTGCTTTCATTGATTTAAACAAAGCCTTTGACAGCGTGGACCTGAATATCTTTTGTGTACTACATAAATTTGGATTCAAAGAAAAATTTATAAATGTACTTCGAACTTTGTATACCGAATCAGAAACTAGGGTGTTGATGAATGGATATTTAAGTCAAGCAGTTACATTAGAAAGAGGAGTTCGCCAAGGTGATCCACTAAGCTTATATACGTTCATAATAGCAATTGAACCCTTGCTCATTGCGATAAATGCCCATAAAAGTATCAATGGAATTATGATCCCACACAATCAAGAAATAAAGTATCTAAGTTACGCTGATGATATCACCCTAACTGTAAGAAACAAAACTTCATTTATTATACTCTGGATTCAATAAACAATTTGAGCTAGCAACTGGCATGAAGTTGAATATTGGAAAAACAAAACTTTTAAAAATAGGAAAATGGACTAATCCAATTTTTTTTCAAATCTCCATATTGTACAAAGTTTGAATGTACTCGGAGTAGTGTTTTCAAACTCTGATACAAGCAATAACAACTGGGAAGACTGTATGGATAATGTAGGACTGTAATAAGTGAACTGAAGGACATTCCTTTATCACTCGATGGAAAATGTCTATTGATCAAACTTAAAATTTTACCTGTTTTCTTATACTGTGCAAGAATATTCCCTATCCCGATGTATATAGGAAAACAAATTAATGATATTATTGAAAAGTTTGTATTTAATGTAGAAATACCTTAAGAATTGATACATTATGTAAAAAAAATATTAGGAGGATATGATATAATTAATATTCCTCTTTTTACAATGTGCCTTTATGTCATGACTTCTTATGAATATTACTGTGATAGAATTAATGCTAATATTGAACACTGTAGACAATCCGTATATAATTTCATTGAATATAACATAGGGCAACAACTGAGTGTTATTTTTAAAATACCTGTAAATAATAGTGTATCACATACCTTTTCCCCAATAGATATTATGGAGCCATTATTACTTTCCTTCGGCAATATAACATTGCTGGAACTGATTTAGAACAAGGGAAACATCGAATAATTTATAATAAAATAGTTAATAATTTGAAGAGGGTGACAGAATAGTGTTTCTTAGAGATGGTAGTTTGGAAGGAGCTTGTTCAAACATACATTGTAAAATATTGGCTAATAATATGAAAACTTTCAATTATAAACTTATGTGGGACATTCTTTCACTAAAAGTTAAACCAAGGATTAGACATATTACTGGAAATGATTTATGTGTACTTTGTTCTCAAGAACCCGAGTTTATATCTCATTTATTTTGGAACTGTGCATTTACACAAAATGTATATGATTATGTTTTTTCAGTTGTATTAAAAATAAACAATTGCGAGTTAAAAAATATTTATAAAACATGTATTTTAATAGAACTAAATAAACAGTGTTTTTCACATTTATCATTAGTTGAACGTAATGCAGTCATACTTCTTCTGTGTACTGCAAGATATAAAATATGGTTAGAACGTAATGCAGTTATTTTTGAAAATGTTAATCCAAGTGTAAATAGTGTCATAACAAGAATTAGAAAATCCCTTTTAGCAAGGAGAAATATAGAACAACTTAGACATAATCCTAGTTTTATAAAAGAACTAGACATAATTTGTAAGAACCTATGACTAATTGTATAAATTTTTATTTTTCTGCTATAAATTAAAAACTTATAAATTAATGTATATTTACTGATGAACATGGGAAACTTTATCTGGAATCAACAATGGAATAATATGAATTGCTGGATAATACTGGATGATGTTTACAAATATATTTGTTTATTATATGTAACTATGTTCTATGATTATTATTTTTTCATCATTTATTTATTTTTACAAAACTGTTATGAATCCACAACGTGGACCTTTAAAAAAAAAAAAAAAAAAAAAAAAAAGAATTTGCTGACCCATTTTACCAATGACATTAAATGTTAAATTGTTTAATGTCATTGATTTACATTTCAGATTTTTTGAATGAACGTACAGGACAGGCAATTACAGAATTTTAGTGGTGCATAGTGGAAATACAGGTACAAACAATTTTTTCCTACTACAGTACGGTATTATTCATTTCTATGATTATAACTGTGTCACATTTAACACATTTGTGGGCGTTTAAAAAAAAACACAGGTAGGCAACCCGTAGCCATTCTATTGGAGTCTTACGATTTTAGTGTGGACCCGTTCATTTCAGTGAAAATGTATCCATTTTAGTAGAAACATACCGGTACCGTACTGCCGCACCGGTACCGGTACCGTATGTAATGAATTCAGGAATTATGAAAAGTCTTTCTTGAGATTCAATGCAAAGGGGAAATGAAATCCATTTTATATTCGAGAAATGTACCGGTATCATTGCTTGATTTTTATAAAAAGTCATTTCTTGAAGGAAATCTCTATCCGAATTTGACTAACCATGCGAAAAAATTATAATAATAAGTATAAGTTTATTTCGACTCCATAATCAGCAAAACAATAAAATGAATGGTAAAAATAAATAAATAAGAACTGATTATGAAATCAGGAGAGCGAACAAAACCTTAGATAAGGTTTAAAACGTACAGAATGTATATAAGATGGAAGGTTTTGCCAAGAAGATGTGGTACGTGTTCACTCACCTAAAATAATTGAAATATTTCACACACGCTCACACGTACCCACACACACAACCATATAGAAGTTATTAAGTAAAGGGAACATGAAAAATTACATACTGGTAGTTAATAAAAAATAAATAAATAAAAATTAATATCGATGTTTGGAAGTACATATACGTGCGAACAACTATTTCCGAAAATGGACATTGCAAAGAACAGTCGGAGAACTAGAATTAGTGATGCCCATTTACAGATTTAGAAAATGTTCTAATCTTGGCTTCTTCCAGTGCATCACTTGACTGCCTGATGTCGAAAAGCTATCGAGCATATGGTAATGCAGCGACAAGTGTCAAATTGAATGTCATTTGTAAATTTTTGACTATAGTCCAGTAGTCAGATATCGGTAATGAGCCGACTTTGAGTCCACGAGTCGCCGCAGTGCTCGCTCGCTATTTAAAATCTAATATTTCAACTTCTGAACTGTGTAAAAAATGTGATTCATCAGCCACTCGTTCGGTTTTTATCTTTCTTGAAAAAATATGTGCGGTTCGCCAAGATTTTTAACCCTTACTTTTGGCCTGGGAGCGACAAATGTAACCGACCCCTAGTCTATGGCATATGGTGTGATGTTTTCTCATTTTAAAATTCTTGCAATCTTTTTGAACATGATCATCATTTGCAACTTGCAACCCATGGGGGCTTTCTCAAGATATTCTCACTTCTATCTGAAGTTTGGAAGTGTGGTTTTGGCTATCATTTGGTAGGTACCGATTTTAAAAAGGTCATGTCAGTCCAAACTGATGTTTCAGTGTTTATATTACAGTATTAGTACAATATTGATGCTCTTGTTGCAGTTTGATATGTTATTGTTTCAATTACAGATGGTTTAATTTTACGAAATTGCAAATTTAATGTAGAGTAAGATAACAATGATTGCTAATCGACTTGCTTTAGCTGGATGTGGTAGCCGTGCTCTGTCAGCTAGAAATGAAGGAATCGCAGCTCCTGCTCTTATTTTAATACAAAAAAGAAATGTTCATGAATCTTATATACCTTCTGGTTCCGGTGGAAGATCATCATTCAGTGGTATTGTCGCGACTGTGTTCGGAGGAAGCGGATTTATTGGACGAATTTGCCTCAACAGATTGGCAAAACATGGAGCGAGTGTGGTAGTAGCACATCGATCCCCATATCAATATGTGAGACATTTGAGGCCGATGTTTGATTTAGGACAACTGTTAATGAGGGATTTTTGCATGGAAGATAGTGATGACAGAATTCGTGAATTGGTTCAACATTCAAATTGTGTCGTAAATCTTATTGGAAGTAACAAGCCTTATCAAAATTGTACATTGGAGAAAGCAAATCTTGAATGGCCGTTACGATTGGCGAAGATTGTTGCAGAAAAAAATGATGGCACTCGTCTGTTGCATATCACCAAACTTAATTGTAATCACGAGTTTGGTAGAAAAACCTCCAAACTTCTGCAACTCGACTACGCAGCCGAAGTGGGAATTAGGGAGATTTACCCCGAAGCAATAATTGCAAGGTCTTCCAATGTTTTTGGATATAATTCTACATACACCAATTTTTTTGTTCATGAAAGACAAGAAGATTTGGGTAAGTTTGGTGGGATGCCCTTGCTTTATGATGGCGGAAAATCAACAATTATTCAACCAATCTATAGCGGAGACTTGGGAGAAGGATTGGCCAGGATTCTAAAGCATTTAGATTCACCTGGGAAAACCTTTGAGCTTTATGGTCCACGTCGATATGTACTTAAAGATTATGTTGAATACATTTACAAGATCATGGATAAACCCTGCTATTTATATGATACCTTGGGACCTATGGATAGCAGCAAGGCGAACTTCGTCCAAAAAAAATTGCAGAAATTGGTGACACGATATTTTGAAAAACAAGAAGAACCACGTTTTCTTTTTCCAAGAGCTGTTGACGTAATATCAAGATTAGGAACACCATTGGAAAGTTGGGCAACAAAAGATTATTTTGACATGATTCACGTCACAGATAATCGCACAGGGCTTCCAGGATTAGAGCAGCTTGGAATTGAACCCACGCCATTTGAAGATAAATCTATGCTCCTACATGGTTATTTACATCTTTGGGACTCTTTCACTATTCAGTCAAAGCACACTTTACCAAATATCAAACAACAGTCGACCTATTTGCCAAGAGTAAAATGAACAGCTATAAAATTGTTTTTCGTGACTGGGGTTTCTATTACTGTTATCTTTTATTATAGAATATAATTATTTCCAATTATCAGAAAATGTTTGGAAATTATTGAGGCACACTGCTGTGTATAGTGTACCAATTTACACTCATCCAGGAATATTTTGTCAAGTTCAAGTTTTTCACTAAATTTGTTTATTTATTTACTATCTATCTCTAATGCTTTCAGTGTGTATTCTAACCAGAACAATAATGCTGTATAGCGTTGTCAATTGCTCTGAAGTTATCAATTTTTGGTGCGTTCATCAATTATCAACTACTCCGAAATAAACATATTTTTTAACTTTTGAATTTTGGCAACACTAAATAAAATTATTACTTCATGAGTTGACTATATGTTTCATTTGTGTGTCATTATCTTTAGAATTATAGACAGAATATCTCAAAATAAATACGAATTATTACGATATGTTTTGAAATGTCAACAAGATTTCCATTATTTGAATCTGAAACAACTGGTGACTTGTGGTTTTCTGTTGATAAACCAAGGAACGAAGAAGCTGATTTACAAGCTGAAGAACAGAAATACGAGAATTGGGTAAATAGTTGCTTGTTCATAAGGTTTGCTATCTGTAGAGCCAAATATCTCAAGTTTGTAGAAATTTCGCATACCATGTCAAAATTGCACTGTCAATGTATTCCACGCCATGTGGTTGGCGAAATGGGGCTGGAATCTTGTGGACAATTAATGTGTTCTACTGAATTTCTCGACTCCTTGCCGCCTGCCATAGGGTGGTTAACATAACCGCTGGTTATATATGGCTTCCTCCACCATCAAGTCTATGCATTCAAAACAAATAACTATTCCCATACCCAACATGGACTGGTAACGAGATGAGAGACCGGGGTTCGCCATTAATTAAACCATCTTATTGACTTTCTCTTCCTCAAGATAAATATGAAAACCTTTGTCTAAACTCAAAGCAGAAAATGTGAAACATTTTTGAGTTTCAGGTATCTATAGATTTCTCCTATTTTCTCAGTCAAACATGCCCTGTTATAGAATGTATGTAAATATTCTAAATTTGGAAATATTGTTTCATGAAGATTCGAGGTTGTAAATTTGAGTTATCATCTTTGCCATCTGCCCATATTGTTTTTTAAGTATCAATCGTTTGTTTTGGCAAATCTTAATTTCCATATTTTTCCAGCTAACATCAGTCATAAAGAAGGATAGTGACACACCTTACATTGGAGAAGCTGCTGGCAGGGTGAGTTGAATCATTCCTCTTTCTTAGTGGTGTGACTGTGTTATAGATGAAACAAGTGCTTCTCAAAATTTCATGTTTTATTTTATCAAAGAATTTCAATACTTCATGGCCTATTGCTTTTCTGTAAAAACACCTGAATTACCTAGTTTTGCTTTCACTGGGTTCCCATCAGGCATTTTATTCGCCAAGTTTATTTAAAGTACGAAAGTGGGAAAATAAATGCATTATAGTCAATTCATGTTGAATTAGTATCAAATTGTAATCATCGCAAATGATACCTATTAAAGACCTTTAGTCATGGCCTCCAGAGAATCTATTCTTTGCCCTCTAAGAGAACCGAGGATCCGGTATGAGAAACCCAGGTTCATCTACTCAATAACGAAATTGAGTCTATCATCGAATTTAATGTTATGCTTTCTGCATTATAGTATTGTGGTTTAAATCCTGGTGAAGACGATTCTGATGATGACACTGATGAATCTAATGAGGAAATGGAAGAAGATGATTTAAATGAACTTCCTGATTCCCCTGATGAACAAGTTATTCCCGAGGTGAGTGTATTGTAGTGTAGTGTATGTAAAACACAGTGTATTAATATTTCTTGGATTGGGTCTGCATGTGGCTGATGTCAAGAGCTCTGTCAGATGAGATAACAAGCATCAGAATGAATATATTGAATTTTTCAGAGCTGTGGTGTCAAGAGTCTTAAAGTTGGCATGTTTTTATCACATCATGGTTGGATCTGGAGTTGTATTTTAAATTCGTTGAAGAATTTCGGACTTTAGACAAACTTTAAAAGCATAAAGTCAACTGGGCATTTTCAACAGACAATTGTCACTCTCAAAAGTTTTTGTGGCCAAAATTCGATTTTCTTGATGTCTGTCTGGTGTTTAAATTCTCTTTGAATAGAATTCAGGAACAAGGGTCTGACTCTAAGCCAAATTTTTTGTCAACCGAGATTGTTAACTTAAATTATTTTGTAAATGATTGAGAATTTGGAGTCTTTAAGTATAGTATGAATTTAACCCAACCTCACAGTCCTAGTATTCTTATTCCACAAAAATTTTCATTAGATTCAAGAATACCATGTAAGACCTTTGCATTCTTTTTCTAAATTATTGTTGTGACTTGACAATAGTTCAAATTTTTTATCAAATTTTAGGAATCTTGAGTTAGCATTTTTTTTAAATTGTTGCAAATTTTTTGGAACACTTTTTAGACTTCATTCCCCCTAAGTATAATTAACAGTGATATATATGTAAATAATTTTTTTATCTTTCCAGATTGACATGGATGATAATGCAGCGCCAGATGATACTTGGATGAATAACAACAACTAAAAACATCAAAAAAAAAAAAACTTATAAAAAAAAAACTACATAGACTCAAATATTTCTAAATTACTTGCAAGTACATTGCAAATTGAGAAAAGCATCTATCCGATAGTGGTTCAATTTTGCTTTTCCTAAAACACAATCATGAGACAAAAGGGAACAAAAAACAAGCAGATCAAAGCTCTTCAAATAACTTATCCCGCTGGTGGATTTCAAAACGATGTCATCAGACTTTTGCAAAAATTTGTGGCAACTGAAAGTATCAGGTAGATTTTGTGTAAAGTTTTTTTTATGCGATTCTACAAACAAGATGAGAATTTTCCTACGCGAGCAACTTTTTTTAGCTGGTTGGCGGCTTGAACTTGTGAACTGTGAACTATGAAAATTGACAACAATTTGTATACTTGATACATTGTGATAGTATTGTTGTATTGTTGAAAACATTGATAATTTTCAATCAAATTATTTGATTAAAAATAAGTATAAAGTTTATGGCATCAATATTTTTGTCATTTAGGTTCAGTGAATTTTCTCGAATATGGAGGGAAAGCAATTTTACACTGATATATTTGGGAAGATGCGGGATACGTGAGCACAGAGAATTTTTGGAAGAGGCGTTCAAAGTTCTATTGAAATATATAATGCCACCATATAACTTACAGGTATATTGTTGCCATCGTAATATACTAGCACAGGGCTGATTGTAGCTATTGTCGAACCTTATGGAAACGAATTGTGCGGGGCCCGGTCTGCGTGTGATGATGGAAGGTTATACCTTTCTAGATAATATCAGTTAAGGACTCTTCTTCGTGTGAACAATTGAATCATCTTGTACTTTGCGTTGATTCGTATTCGTCGATGAATTAGTGGCATCTCATTCTATTAGTAAATGTTTTACATATTTTCTTGTAGGGTTGAAAATTAGGCAGTTTACAGCCAAACAAATTCGCCCATCTGTCCACAAATTTTACTTCAACTTGGGTTTATTTCGTCTTGATTTGTACATTATTAGTGTGTAGTTGTAGCCTGTGTCTGGTTGCTTTTACTAATATTGTAACCAGTGATCATTTTGTAAATAACTCAGGGTCTGAGTTATTCCCAGCCAGAAGTTCAAATCGAAATTTCTTTCACGATGTAGTCCATTGTTAATTTTGCCAAACCTGGTACAGGTCGATATTCAAAGTCGAACTTCAGTGGTTTATCTTTTATTTTTTCTGATAGAATGTTGTCATTTAATCTGTAGCCTTAATATTATGTTCCTTAGCCTTCAGAACACTGATGTACGTACTGAATTACTTTCCCAGGTTAGAGTTGGCGGTGTTTATACAATGTATTCTGTATATTACACACAAAAACTTGCCAAAAAAAGAAGAATTCGAATGCCTTTGTCATGTTGGGCAAACTTCTGTGAACTTCAGCAAGATGTCATTGATTGTCAACATCTTGATGCCGTCTACATCATACGAAAATTAATCAGCGATAGAGCTTTCATGCTGTGTGCCTATCCTTCCATGTTATCTGTTGGTAAGTGACTTTCAACTTGGTATGTTGGTAATATAGAAGGGAATTGGAATTTCATATTTTCCTGGGGGAGGGAAAACTGACTGATGAGGTGGCTTAATCCTATGGCGAACCACGGCCGCTTACCTTGTTACCAGGTCATGTTGGGCATGGGAATAGGTTTTTTGCCTCCGATGGATCTGATGATGAAGGGAGCTGTGACTGACCAGAGTTACATGCGATGAAGCATGTAAGTATCCCCAGAACTGTTTTATATAGTCAGGATTGGACCATTAATAATATATTCAATGTATAAAAACGATTAAAATTTAATCTAGCGGAGTAAATCAATGGGTATGCATTTGTGATAGTAGAGACTAGTTATCCACAAGGTGGCGTTATGGAGCCATATTTTCATGACAATTTTGCATAGTAAATGACATGCTCTCGTATGGTACAGGTGGTTCGTTTACCTGGCTAGTACTACCTCCCCGTTTATTTGTTGTGAAGTACGGAATGCACATTTTATCAAAGAAATACTTTCATTTTAATTCAAAGTTGTTATGTTAGAAAATTTATTTAAGTGATTTATTTTTCATTTCTATGTATTTCTAAAAATTGCACCGGAATTTGTTATTTTGCTATATTGTTATAGTCCGTATATGGCTCATTTACAAAGCGTGAATTGTCTGAAACATATCGATTACAGCAGAACATCATTTCCAATCATATTTTTCGAAACTATCAAATAATTGCCATGAATGGGTTCAGAAATTGCGAATTTTGTGATCACCGTGAGAAAACGCGTATTTCATGGCATTTTTTTTAGTTCTATTTATATTTGTGTGTTATCACAATGCTCGCTAGTTCAGAGTCCAATTAGAGAGTATCTACCATCTGGCATTGTTTTTTGTTTCACTTATATTATACAAATTATACATCACAAGATACGATGTCCATGTAGTGCTTTTATGACTCATGTTTGAACCTCATTTGAAGTTGTTGAAACTTTCCTGAAATTTGTGTGTTTGCCATTTTTGTATCATGTCGGGCTCCAAAATAAATCATCTTCATTTTATAGGAACGCAACAAAGTAATTTTCTAATAAATCAATTATGTCTTGTTTTCACCTAACATCGAGTGCAATAGAGTTTATAAAAATTAAGCTACTTTTATTTCGCGAAACCACGTTTTTTATGACTGGGTTTCGCAATAATTTTGTTTATATTGTTTGCTCACAAATTACGTGAATAATATGACGGACATCTGCATATCAAGAGATTGTGGACTGTGGTGACCGCGGGCGTTTATTAAAATTGAAATTCGCCGTTGTCAACCTACATAACCGTGATTTCGTATTTACCGTATTTCACGAATTATGTGACCTGCTGACCAGTGACTAATACCAAAGGTACTACATTTACGGTAATATCTACGTTTACCGTATGTGATGTGAACATATCTTCCCGCTGTTGTCCATGTTGAAAATATTTGTTTATATTTTTTCACGCGGTCAGGTGACTTTGTTTATAGGTGTTATATCTTCGTGTTAGAGAAAACTTTATTCGAAAGACAAAATAATATTTACCAATGCCACCACTTTCGTTTCATATCAGTTAAAACTTCTGGGTAGTTGACTCCGACACTGGATTGAAAAAAATCCGACTCCGGGTTTGGACTCCGACTTCAGCTCCGAACTTAACAACATAAACAACAACAACATTCGGATAACAACAGTTTTGGCATATGCAAGTTAAGGACTCTTAGTAAACTTCTTGAGTTTCTATAAACACTTTTGACATCATATAAGCACCATTGAATGTATGGAATTCCGTCTCCGGATTCTGGGTAAGTCTAAATTTCGACTCCGACTCGCAACTTTGGGCAGATTGAAAATCCGACTCCGAATTCAATGCCAGACTCCCGACTCCAGAGACTTGGCCATCTGTCGTGTCGCCGAACGCTATGTCGAAGCTCGGTCTAATCATATCCAAAATGAGATTACAGTGTTATTGCCGTCGAATACAATACTGCATTAATCCTTTGTCGTTCTCATTAACTGAAACTTTCATAAAAGTGTTTTGCATTTTTGCTTTTGAATTTATCAGACTTAAACCTAGCTTGAAGCAAATTTGTCTAAAACAAGACTCAGCATTGGCAGTCCGGATGTACGCATGATAGAAACCTGGCATTACGGTACATTCTTCGCTTGAACCGCCCACTTTTCATTCTTTGTCCAGTTTATGTATTGAAGCTCAACGCGCCAATTTTTGGTTCGCTTCGTTGGTCAACAAAATACCTTTCGCGTGACTCGGAATGTGTTTTGTGAATTTACTGAATAACGAACTTGCTTGAACTTCATGGATTTTATAGCTATTTACGTAAGCGCTGTGAAATACAAAGTCACGGATAGATTTTTTGAATGGCTGGTATGCAACTGGTATAACTACATTAAATCTAAAACTGAAAATTTATTCGGTATTGGTTCATTTGACAATAATTTGTATTATCGTGATTTTATCAATATACACACGCTAGAAATTAAATCTACTCTACCCTATATATATTTATTTGAAAATGCATTCATACTTTTTTGCAATGTCAGGCGAAGTGTTGATATCGGGAATATCTGCGGTTCTATCACAACAAATGATAACGTGAAATATAAATTCACTATTAAAGACGTTTTAACGTAACATTTTTTGTACATTCCAAATATTAGTGAAATTTAAAAAGAAAAATATGTTGTTACTTTAGTGACAAAATGACAAGTTTTAAAGTTTAATTTGACTCAAATCTGATATCCTAATACCATGTGTTGTTAAAGGATGTGGTTCCATCTTTAATCTCTTATCGTGGTTTCGATGCTTATTTCAGGTTATTAATCGGGTGTGACTCGGTATACATCATTGTTATTTATGTAATGTTTTGACAATTGTGCATTAGATGTTTTGTATTTGTTATAATAGGCCTATAACCTGTTTTAATAATGAATAGCGAACATACGAAAGCAAGAAAATAAATGCACTGCACAGTCAATTTAATTCAAATGAATGTGGTTATTGCGAATCGTGGTGTCTAGTAAGGGCTTTTGTCGTGGCCCCCAGAGTAGCTTTGTTGCCCTTCAGAGCAGGGGTGTGCAACCTTTTTCGCGAGCGGGCCAAATATCAATAACTGGGTAAAACCGCGGGCCGCACCTTCATTTAACATAGGCTTTCTATTAGTTTCAGGCACAAAGTAGTGTATTTTTGTTATTGATCTCATTGTCGTCCTTGCAGAAAACGCATAAATTTTGCGTTAATCAACTGATAGGCTGGAACCAAAACTCATTTACCTCTTGTATCTCTTAATATTAAATTTTTTCAAACTGCTTTCCAGTTGCCCGTTCTTACAAATTCATAAGCTTCTGTTTCTCAATTTTCCTTTCAATTATTCGCTGCTTGACAAGTGACAGCTTTGTAAATCGCGTTGTTCGCTCTGCTGTTGGGACGTTGTAACGTCATAGGCATAGGATAATTAATTGGACTCGAATATAATATTTCCAACGCAAAGGGAACCAGATAAAACTACCGGTAAACTAAAAACTAGTTTAGATGGCATTGGCACTTCTCCGTGGGCCGCGCAATTTTCCCTCGCGGGCCGCGGGCCAAACTTTGCACACCCCTGCTTTAGAGGACAGAGGATCCAATTTAAACAAAACATGCTCTAGGTCTAGTCTGGAGGATAACCATTTCAACAATATAGTATCGCTGGGCATGAAATATAACTTACACAAGTTTTAAAATTCTCAATTATAAAATTGAGATAGCAAAACCGAACATGTTGCAAATGAAGTATCAAAGGCGGAGCCGAACCTGAAGGATTTCGGTACGTCGAGAATTATAGTATCTGATGAAAGTGTTGATGATATTCTACCTTATCCATATCGATCATATGAGAACGACATTCTCCCAAGTGTATATTTCCAAACCCAATATTCAGACAATAAACTTCAAACGATTATTCGTCGGTTTTCATTAAAATGACATGTTACTCACCCGATATCCGTAATAATTTTCTTATCCGCTGTAGTGGATGACAATATTCATGCGTCATAATTTTATACAAACTTGTCCGGTATGAATTGTAGTCTTATGACTCCATCGATTGGGGATTTGATATGGGACATAAGAAATCGTCATAATTGAACACAAAACTAATTATTTACTGCCAATTTACATATCATGTCAAAATTTTGATTAAGTTGAGGAACATTATCCCATTTTTCTAAAGATATTTCTTAACTGCCTGCCTGCAGAAGTTGTCTTGTAGTAAAAATAGGTTTAAACTATTGCATGGGGTTCCGGTAATACAGAAAGTAAATATATCAGTAAGTGCTTGCACACGGTCTTGTTTGGATCGAAAGGCAAGATTGAATAACCGTCGTCAGAATTGGAAACCGCCTAGACTGGAAATTGTCTATCGGCATAAATCGCCTCCTGCCGTAATTAGTATGATGAAGAATCCAATATTTTATGTACTTAGGTAAACCTTAATCTTAGATTAATACAGTACAGTTTGTGGTTAGCTAACTTTGAAATGCTAGTTTATTTTCCGACTCTTGTAGATTGGCGCCGCCTGACGCAGAATTTCGTTTTTCCAGATGATATGAGTAAGATGTTTATTGGTCTTGGTCACTGGTGCGTGCGTATTCTAAATTGTCTGGCCAAATATTACGGAAACCGCCGAGGATATTTTTTGATTAATCACTTAATTTTGGAGTCTTTGGTTCGAATGGGCGTTTTGCTTTCGGTTTTGGGCACGAATGGTACATATGGATCGTTTTACTCAATTTTTATTTTTGCTGTTACACTTAATGGGATGCTTGGGTAATGCGCAATACTTGGACAATGGATTTCAAATTCTACTTTTATTTAAAAAAAAATTTCGGGGTCCAAATATTTCTGCTGTTTTTATTAATTATGAAAACGCTGTTTCACATTTGGCCTTTCTGACCATTTATTTGAGGATTGCTCTTTTGCTTT